TATTTTGTTTGTCATGTTCCTTACTGAATGTTTTATTATCAATTTAAGCCATCTTGTTCCAAAAAAAATACTTCGTATTCAAAAAAAGTGTAACAAACCTTAAACTAAGAAAGAGTAGGAAAGTACGAGTACAATTTAGAAGCCGACAAATTAAAGTTATCGGCCCGGCCCGAAGTGTTTGATCAGGTCCAATAAGAAAACCACATGCCCAAGATCTGGAATAACCTAATCTACTTCCGTTTTTATTTGGAGTACCTCATCGGATCTACCATCTCTCTACCGCTCTCAGCCAGACTGCGGAGGTACGCTATATTACTCTGCCTTCTTAAAGATATCATTGTGGTTTTTATCTTTTTTTCTTTTCATGTTTTTAGTTTGATAATAAAATTAACCAATTAGTTTGGATTTGTAATTGTTAGTTAAAAACTTGTATTTTGACATACTTGTAGGTTTTGTACTTGTCTTAGAAAAGAAAGACCTAATTTAAATAGTTGCATGTCCTTTTTCCTAGAATCGGCCCTGCAATTCACGAACGACACCAAGTAAATAGATTCGACCGCCAAGAAGCTCTTTACCTCCTCTTTTTTTTGTTATGCTTATGTTCAATTACCCATGTGGTTTATCGCTTTAGGTGAAATCGCTTACAATTATCTATGTGCACATCACAGGATATAGTACGAAAACCTGTGTTTGTATGCCCTGAGCATTGGGACAACTAATAAGATCAGGTTAAGGAGTGGAGATTTGAGAGGCGTGTTATTGATTTGAAATAACCAGGGCTAGAGGAGTATTGTACGTACTAAGCAGTGTAACTTGAAACAAAGTAAACTTGAGTTTAGCCAAAATTGTGGACTACAATTCTGGTCGGGCGTGCCTGACGGGCAGAGTCGTGCGGACTTGCTCGTTTGGGTGTTTCCCCGGTGGAAGTTTTTGATGAACATTTTTGTGCATGTTCCCTATCAAGTCTAGTTTATCCATACCAAATTTCAGCTCAAAATTCGATCGAGAAGACATTCAAATAAATTCTTAACACATAATGTGTATTATAAGTGCGCAGAATGTGCCACATGTTTCAAGAATTTATTTCAATGCTTTCCCGATCTTATTTTGAGCTGAAATTTGCCGTGGATAAACTAGACTTGGTTAAGAACATGTTCAAAAGTTTCATTAAAAAACTGGAAAGACCCCAAACGGGCAAGTCCGCATAGAGGTTCCTGTCAGGCGTCAGGATAACTCCAAAACAGTGAACAAAAGTCGATCCATCCTTGTGTGTGATAAATCCAATAATATATTACATACGAAGTGCTTTTTTATTATTAAATGATGTACACTAATCTTGACAAATACTAGGTAAATCACTAATACTACACACTAACTTGACATAAAAAATTCACATTGTAACTATGAAAAAATGATGCTTAATATCAAATAAGCTTCATTAGCTGGTTTTGTGTAAACTTTTGTTGAATTGAAGGCCGAATTTGAGGTTGGGAAGAAGCTCCGCGTCACTGTTGTCATATATTTGAATATTTAGATTATTGTGAGATAATTGTTTTTATATTATGTATTTTTATTGATTCATCGGTGACAGTTGATATTACATCAACATTCAAGCCTTAGTCCCAAAAGATATTGGGTCGGCTAACATGAATCGATACATGATATCACCACCAAAAGGAAAAGAAAAAAAATAAAGACAACAAAATAAGCTAATATAAAAAGATAATATAAAACGAGATGAATATACCTAAAAATGATAAAATAAAAAGGACAAAAATAATGTTTATATATACAAGGATAAAAGAATAAAAAGCAAGAAGAAAAAAGATGAGGGGAAAAAATAATACGAGATCACTCCTCCACACGAATACCCGCCCTCCACCTTGCTCTCTCCAAAGTCATACCCTAATTCAACCCAAGAAGAAGCATATCACTTCGGACTCACCTAACCAACGTCTGTTTGGGTCTTCCTCTCCCTTTCTTCCCTGCTTCTTCTCCACACATCTCAACACGTCTGACAGGTGCATCACTCGGTCTTCTACGCACATGACCAAACCACCGTAGGCGAGACTCCCGCATCTTGTCTTTAATAGGTGCTACTCCCACCCTTTGTCTGATTGTCTCATTTCGCACATGGTCCTTCCTAGTATGCCCACACATCCAACGCAACATGCGCATCTCTGTCACACTCACCTTTTGAATGTGACATTGTTTCACTGCCCAACACTCTACGTCATACAACAATGCAAGACTAATTGTTGTTTTATAAAATTTACCCTTCAATCTAGTCGGCATACCTCTATCACATAGAAATCATGACACACTCTTTCACTTCATTCACCCTGTTCTGATTCTATGGGATACATATCCATCTACCTCACCGTCCTTCTGAATTATGGAGCCCAAGTAACGGAACATACCACTTACCGGTATCTCCTTACCATCTAGAGTAATTCCACTATTACCACTGCTTCTACCTCCACCAAACTTGCACTTCATGTACTCTGTCTTGCTCCGACTTAGTTTGAAACCCTTGTTCTCCAATGTCTGTCGCCGTACTTCCAACTTTGCTTTAAGACCTGATGCGTCTCATCAATCAATACAATATCGTCGGCAAATATCATGCACCACGGTATTTCGTCTTGAATTTACTTTGTATGTTCATCCATGACTATGTTCACTTATAGTCATGATCCATGACTATGACAAATAATAGGGAACTCCGCAGTTCTCCTTACATTAGTACGAACACTTGTAGTACAATCCTCATACACATCCATGATGATGCTGATATACTTGCGTGATATGCCTTTTTTAGTTAAAGCCCATCAAAAAACTTCTCGAGGTACCCTATCATAAGCCTTTTCTAAGTCAATGAACACCAAATGCAGATCCTTGTGAACGTTTCTATACTTCTCCATAAGCTGCCGAAGAAGGTGAATTGTCTCAGTTGTTAAGCGACCAGACATAAAATTGAATTGATTCTCTGAAATCTTCACAGTTCTTCAAAGTCTTTGCTCAATCGCTCGTTCCCAAAGTTTCATGGTGTGACTCATAAGCTTAATCCCTCGATAGTTGACACATTCTTGTACATCACCTTTATTCTTGAATAAGGGGATAAGAGTACTCTTTCTCCAATTTGTCGGCATCTTGTTGTTTCTCCAAATCATGTTGAAGAAACTTGTTAACCACTCGACGCCTCTCTCTCCCAAACTTCTCCAAGCCTCGATCAGTATGCCATCTAAACCCACAGCTTTCTTCCGCCCCATCTTCCTCAGAGCCTCCTTAACTTCTGTTGTTTGGATCCTTCTCACAAAATCACGATTTACCATACAATCCGGTATGGTCAAATCACCGATATCTTGCGCTTTGTTCCCGTTGAATAGTTGTCAAAGTAAGACCTTCACCTCTCTTTTATCTCCTCGTCCTCCATTAGTTGACAGTTGATATTATTTAAAGTTATTTTTTCCTAACTACTTCATAAAACGTTGCCATATATAAATATACGATTATTTATAATATAATCTTAACACTATAACTTGTTTGTAAAATAGACAATATTCATTGTTTAAAATGTATTTTTATTATGACAATAATGGCACGTTGACATTATTCTTGAACATTTTGAATGAAAAGTTACCCTTTTAATATCTTTCTAAAATGGCCTTATCATATACGGAGGTCGGAGTATATGATAAAAATGGTCTTGTCATAGCATAGTGTACATATTTGTACTCATTTTCACTCACATAAATAATACGGAGTCTGTGAATTAGGGTTTTTGCAGCTGGGCAGCAATGGGGAAGGGAACTGGCAGCTTCGGCAAGAGGAGGAACAAGACACACACTCTGTGTGTGAGGTGCGGCCGACGGAGCTTCCATCTACAGAAGAGCCGATGCTCTGCTTGTGCTTACCCAGCTGCACGCATTAGGAAATATAACTGGAGCGCGAAAGCTATCCGTAGAAAGACCACCGGGACTGGTCGTATGAAGTATCTCCGCAACGTGCCTCGCCGATTCAAAACCAATTTCAGAGAAGGTACTGTAGCAGCTCCCCGAAATAAGGCTACAGCAGCTTCCGCTTGAAGGCCTTTGAGAATGGTGGATTTATGGAGATCGCTCTTTGTTTTTTCCTTCTCTTCAACACTTCAATACACTTGAACTGGAGGAAGATAATGACTATCTGCAAGGTTTCTTGTTATGAGTTTGTGCCCATTTAATCTTTGTGCCCATTTAATCGTTAGCTTTGTTTCCATTCAATACTTTTCTTACAACAGCCTTGTTTTGAATGTTTACTTTTGCTATAAGCCCAGTGTTTTGTTGTGTTAAAAAAAATACGGAGTCTGTGTAAGAATTACTTATAAACATAGCATATTTGCGCTAAGAAAATTCATTTAATAAATCTGTAAACTTTTCATAGAGAAAATTAATGTCTATATAATATATATCCATCACAACAACATTTGCCATACACTAGAGCATTTAAAATTTTGAAAAGTTGGGTAATTATGTGCATATTATTTCCATAATATGCACTCTTATTCATTCACTCGTGACAATTGGTATTATTTAAAATTATTGTGCAAAATATATTTTGATGCCATATAATACTATATAGTATATAGTCGAAATACATAAAATTGAATATAAAAAATGTGAGTTGTCATTCAAGCCTAAGGGTGCGTTTACAATAGATTAAAAAAAAGTGATTTTCAACTCTTGATTAAAAAATTGAAATTAGTGTTTTTAAGTAACAACTTTCACTTAAATTAAAGAGAGAATTCTCTAAACAAGAGTAAAAACGTTTTGAAATTCCAAAATAGGATTATGATGTTTTTTATTTCCTGAATAGGAATAAATTTCAATCAAGTTTGAAATTACTAGGTTTTAAACTTGACATTTTTTCCAAACTTGGTAGATTACTTATATTCAAGGAATAAAAAACATGATAATTTTATTTTGAAATTTCAAAACGTTTTTACTTCTATTTGGGGCAATTCTGTAAATTAAACACCTAAAGCTAAATGCTAGAATGTGTTTTTAATTTTTCTATTACATGAAAAAATCACATACTCATCAAATAGTACAAACTTTTATTTTTCAAAATCAATTTTTTCTTGAAACAATATTAACTTTTATTACTCCGTACTTTTTTATTGTCATTACTAACTCTTATTACTAGTAATCATTTTTTCCAATATCATTTCAAAAATGTTTTTTTTAAAATAAAAACAATTGCAAATAGTCTGGGGTGCCTAAGAGCTTCTCCAACAATCATCAAATCATACACCAAAATGGTGGATTTGTCAAAAAATTGCTCCAACGACTACACCATCTCTTTCACCATTTCACCATTTTGGGGGAGGGGGTTTGGATTTATGCCATATACGGCGTACGCCAATACCTGTGCCATTTGCTTTAAATGAGTGAAAGCAGATTAAAAAGTAATAATATGGAACTTAGGAGGTTGTTATTAATTTTTTGTATTGCTAATACTCTGTATGTTTTAACTACGGTAAAATGATAACCTCATATTCAGTTTTTTATATCTGTGTAACATTTAAATTGGAATTACTCTCGCTTCTCTTTTGGGCTTCAGCCACTTAGAGTTTTTCCGTCTTCGATTTTAATCAAAGGACGACATTGGTTTTCTACTTCGTCCTTGGAAGCTTCGCATCGCCTAGAACTCGTCCTCGGTCACCTGAAGGGGAATCATGTAAGGTTTGGCTGCAGCGAGGCGGCTTCCAGGCAGTTCGCTGGGGGCAAATAGATGGATGACGTGGTCAACCAATACAAACAGATGGCTATTGGGGATGACAAGGAAGAGGTAATTTTTGATGAAGAAGAAGATGGCGAGGAATCTGTCAAAAGCTCGACCGAATTCCCAGTGGTAGGTGTCATTCTGATTGATAGAAAGATTAAATTCCAATTTTTCAAAGAATTGATGGCATCGCTGTGGAGGCCTGTCAAGGGAGTTTCAATTCAGGAGATTGACGAAAAAAGGTACTTATTCACTTTTTATCATATTCTGGATATGCGACGTGTTCTTGATGAGGGGGCGTGGTCGTTTGAACGTAATTTATTATTGCTAAAAGAGATTAAGACTGAGGATATTCCTAGCCAGGTTAAGCTATACGAGGCTGAGCTCTGGGTGCAAGTGCGTGATGCTGCGTATGGCTTTATGAATCTCGGTTCTGTCAGGAAAATTAGTAATTTTATTGGAGAATTTCATAAATTTGATGACAAAAAGTCTATATCTGATGAAAAGTTTAAGTCATACTTGAGGATTAGAGTCCGTATGGATGTTAGATGACCTTTTAAATAAGGTACCATACTTAAGAAGGTAGGGTTTAGTCAATGGGTGAATTTTAAATATGAAAAACTTCCAGATTTCTGCTTTGTTTGCGGTATTATTGGGCACTCTGACAAATTTTGCCCGATAGTTCATGAGGGGGAGAATATAACTTTTGACAAAAATTATGGAGTCGAACTGAAGGCGGGGACGAGGGTGCAGATCAGTCCCACAGGCCACAGGAGGTTCTAAGTGACTAGTTGAGGGGTCATCAAGTACTGAGTTGGGAATGTCTGAAGAACAGAAGGCTGATAAACAGGACTTGAAGGATGCTACAGGTACGACAACTAGCTCCATAAAGGAAGGTAACTCGGTTAGTCCGAAGGAAGTCTCAGGGAATCCAAAGCGTAGGAGGACCTGAGAAATGGGGCAAAAAGGAGATGCTACAAAGGAAGAGATGCACTGGTTGATCCAAAAAAACAGAGAGGAGGCAGACCTCTTGTAGGTCTGCCGGTCTATGGGGAGGATCTGTACAAGAACGGCGGCGGTGGAGGTGCTTTTGGTCTGGAAGAAGACTGTTTATTTTACTGCGCTTTTTATTTTTATTGCTGTTGATCAGACTTGGTTTCTTTTAATTGTTATTTCTTTCAATTGTAAGACTCTTGCATTAGATTTGTGTGAGGTTTGATCAGCTTCAATCATCTGTGGCTCATGTTTGCCCATTAATTGATCAGCGAGTTATAGTGTTTTTTTGAACGTGATTAACTCCAAGTCTGGTTCGCGGGCTGACGGTTGGACGTGTTTCCTTACTTTGTTTACTCCCCTTCTGAATGCTTATGTTGCAATAACAATTTAAGCCCCCTTCTTCAAAAAAAAAAAATACATTAAAAGATAGTGCACATTGTAGGGATATATAGATTGAGGGTTGTAGGGATAATTGTTTATGAGTATTATTAGTATTTTAATTTGTTTTGAGTATTGTTAGTATTTTAATTTATGGTATATCAGATTTCTACTGGTTTTTTGGATTGCAGAATAAAGAGGCTCATGTATAGATATATGATAATTAGATAATTAAATGTAATAATGGTAAAAAGTTAGTAAAAAGAATAAAAAGGGAATATTTCTTTCTAGTGATGAAAATGGTTAAACTGTTGGAGATAAAATACTGCACGATGTGATATTTACACCATTTTAATGTAAAAAATAGTGTAAACTATTGGAGATGGCCTAAGTCCTCGCGTCACTCACCCCCAGGCTCTCCTCCCTGCTAGATCCTCCAGCTCCGGCTACCACCTCTCTTCAGCCCAACTCCCCATCCTGTTAAGTCCTCCACGGCTTGACTCCTCAGCTTCTCCAGCCCTCCTTGACCCTTGGGATAAATGTTTAGTAGCAGATTTGTGTTTTAAACTTTATTAAAGTTTTAACTATAGATGTTCTTGGCTTCTTGCTTTTATTTTGCTTTGAGCCTATAGAATGTTTGAAATTTTGAATGATTTCTTTTCCAATGTCAATTCTGTAAACCAACTATTTTTCACTTTCTTTATCTCATCTATATCCATGGATTCTTCTATCCTACACTCTGCAACTTGAAACTTCCGATGTTCTTCAATACCTATTTCCTCTAGTTGGCAAAAGCACAATGCACTTTTCTAGTTTTATTGGCATACCGTTTGTGTTCTCTCGTCATTTCATGGGAACCGGAGTTGTGGACTCTGGGATATTTTTTCGAACTACATTCTAGCATACTACCTTCGTTGGAAATGCAATAATAATCAAATCTTGAAATGATGGAGAAGTTATTTTTTCTTAAATTTGATTTACTTGTTATGATTTTGAGGCTTGATTTGATTTGCATTACATGCTAATACCTGGTTAACTTTCATATATTTAAGCTTCCTTATTACTCTTTTAAACTGCTTAGATGATTTATCAGGTTTGTGTGGCCTTAATTACCATTTATTTGAGTGGAGGAATGATATTTATTTTATTAAATTGATGATTGGATTAAATTGAAGGTGAGAAGTTATATAAAAATATTTAATTTTATTAAACATATTGTTTTTTATTCTACAATAAGACATTTAAGTAAAGATAAATTAATCAAACAAATATGAATCATTCCCTTTCCTTCCCTCCGAAATCTCCCAACGAACCCAACCAAACATTCCCTTACGGAATCCGCTTCATCAGCTTTTTTGAAGTACTCTCTCTCTCTGTCTCTCTCTCTCTCTCTCTCTCTCACACACACACACACACACACACACACATCTTAATGGAAGTGTTTGAGTTCACAGGGTATGGTGGTGGTGAAGAGGTACGTCTTGAGATTGTTCATATCTTTGAAGTACATAACTGCAAATGTGATGGACAGGAACAATGGCAGGATAACTGCAACAGCGTCCAGCGTCGAGCACTCGCTCAAGAACTTGTTTGAATGTGGGAGAAGTTGCAATGCTAAAGCTGTTGTAGTTGTGGGAGAGGTCTTGGCCAGGCCCCTCAAAGTGGAGGGAATCGATCAAGGTGGAGGGGAAGTGGAATTCATGTCAATGTAACCAAGGAGGTTGAGAAGAAGGGCTTCAAGAACCGCACCAAGGTCTGGGCTATAGTCAATGGCCTCAAGAACAATGGGGTTAAACTTGTGATGGATGATGATGATTGACGTGCACTTTGTCGTGAGTGCACTCAAAATAAATTCGATACTAACACTTATACGTAGTATAGGTGAAGTAGAGTTCGTATCCACATGGAAAGGAATAATTTATCTTTTTAACGAAAGGAGTAAATAAAGGGGGTTTTTGGGTTGAATGATTTAATTAAATTAAACACGAAGATGAACGAGTTATATGTGATTTAATTCAAAGATAAAAAGGACTTGGCATTGCTACTTTCCACTTGTTGATATATTTCAGTCGATCATTGTTATATCTATAACTTATCTCCTCTCGAATACTCAATCGAGGAGTATATCCAATTCATCGAGGAAAGTTATTAACAACGACCGTTCATTAATAACCCTTACTATTAGTCAAGTATAAAACAACGCCATATACCTACTTGATAGTAGCATTTAATCTCTTAACTCCTTGATGAAATCAATTGAGATTGATAACCTCAACACAACGGTTTCGGTTTAACCAACAAAATTAATCCCTCTTAAGTTTACTAACCACGACCGTGCATTAATAAACCGAAGTTACTTACTTGTGAAACCATCAACGATTAACCATCGGTTCGTTGATCGTTTCTAGTAATAATTAATATTTGAAACAAAACTAGTTGATCCTTTAAGTAATGTTCAAAAATATTAATATGAAATATGAATAGGAATTAATTAATACTCAAGGAAGAATATTAAGCAAAATGAATCCTACTATAATTAATATCAAGATGTTAACTAATTGTCATCTTAGTAACACTCCCCAATATTAACATAGAGGAAGGAATAGCTATTAGTAAGACCAATGTCAAGATGTTAACTAATTGTCATCTTAGCAACACTCCCCAACATTGATATAGAAATAGTATTTAAGAGAAGCATTAATATTCAAGGAAAGAAGTTAAGAAAATAACTCACAACTTTAATAATCAACAAGCTTCAAGAGCAACACCAAGAAATGGAAGTTTAGCTCCTCATTTGGAGACTAAACATGCTATAAAAATATAAAAGAAATACTATTCTAAACTGAGCTTAAGAGTATGGAAGGAGTGATTTTTTGTGAAGAAAAAGTGTGCTATTTATAGGTGTTTTTCAACACCTTTGGCCGGGTACCCGACCGGGTATAGGTACATACCCGACCGGGGTACCGGTCAAAATCAGATTATCTCCCACGTTTTTGTGTTTTCAGCACGTTAAATTGTCCGGGTCAAGTCAGACCCGACCGGGTCAAGTAAGGGACCCGACCGGGTTTGGTCAAAATCAGATATTTTCCAAATTCTGGCGATCTTCGGCACGTTCTGGTGTCCCGGGTCAATTCTGACCCGACCGGGTCAAATAAGTGACCCGCCCGGGTCTAGTGACTTTCTCAGCAGTTTCTGATTCTTTGTCATGCCCGACCGGGTGAAGTATTATACCCGGTCGGGTTTTTGCTTCTGGGCAGCCAAATCTTATTTTTCTTCACTTCAAAGTCCTCCTTTTCAACACCCTAATTCCTAACTCTACTTTACAACTTACAAATGAAGATTAAAATACAATTACAACTAAAATCACACAAATGTTTACAAACTAAATAAAACGGTAAACAAACCACACAAATCAAACATAAAAACATACACTTATGCACTACTAATTAGTGCATATCAAACACCCCCACACTTGAACCTTTACTCGTCTCGAGTAAACCAAATCATGTCCAAGAAGTTCTTAAATGACAAGAGTATCAACTCAAACATCTAAGTGTGTATTTAGAACAATACAAAAGTATCCCCAAAAATATAAGAGTAAAGAGGGATCTTCAACTCCATATTTTCTATCAACCTCAATTCTTTTTTTTCGTTACCCTTAGGATCCTGCAAAAAGAAAATACTTGCTCTCATTCTCTCATTTTGCCTAGGTGCCTTTTCGGGTTTTCATCCTAGCTTCCCAATTTTTCTTTTTTTTTCTTTTTTTTTTAATCCTCACAACTCACTCTTATTTTTGCTTTATTTTTGCTTAAGTTGCCTTTTCAGGTTTTCAACTTAACAAGCTCTTTTTTTTTGCTTTATTAATTTTTTTTTTTGAACAAGAATGAAATGTGAGTATTCCATGAAACTCTCCCCCCAAGCTAATCAAAGCACTGTCCCTAGTGCTTGTGTCCGAGATGTCCAAAAGAATGAATCTCTTTGCTCTTTTTGGTGTCTGTCCATTTTTTTTTGGGGGGGGGGGGGTAGATGGGAATTTCGGATTTTTGTGAATGAGTGGCTTTGGGTTGGTTTTGTGGATGTAGAAGTGTAGAGGGTGAAGAGGAGGAAAAAATATGAAGAGGAGGAAAAAAAATATATGGTGTTAATTGATGGATTTGGTTGAGTGAGGGGTGAGTTTTTTTTTTTTTTTTTTTTTTTTGGTGTTTAACGGTAGAAGAATTGGAGAGGGTTTTTGATTTGGGGAAGAAGAAGGATGAAGACGATTGAGCCCGTCTGGTTTTGAGGTCAAAATTCGACGACCCGGTCGGGTGGTGTATGTGACCCGGTCGGGTGTAAAGGTTCTCCGGAGGCAGTGAGTTTTTTTTGTCAGTTGACCCGGTCGGGTGGTCTGTTGCACCCGGTCGGGTTCTTTACTCCAGGGGCCGGGTTTTGTAAAAACTTACTCGCCCGGCCGAGTTTGATGTTCCAGGGGCCATTTAACAAATACACCCGGCCGGGTGAAATGAGGGACCCGGTCGGGTGTACTGTCCATTTTTTTTTTGAAAAGGTTTTCCCACACACACACAAAAAAACAAAAAAAAATGTAAATAAACACAATAGAAACTTGGGTTGCCTCCCAAGAAGCGCCTTATTTAATGTCGTGGCACGACGTTTATTTTTATTTTTATTTTTTTGCTTTATGTGGGATCGTGAATATCCCTTGTTTCATTCTTCCTCTTTGGCCTTTTCCAGTAAAGCCGTGATTTCTTCTTGGTTATCTCCTCTACCCTATGCTCAATTTTTTCTGCCTCTTCAAAAAGTGAGGTTTTCTCAGCTTCTTTTTCAACAAAAATAGGTGATGTTTGTGGTTCAAAAACATTTAGAGAACAAAGGGATTGTTTTTTTATTTGTTTTTTTTGTAGAATCAAAGATGTTGAATTCTACTTTTTGGTCATCAAACTCTAAAGTTAATGAACCATTAGACACATCTATTTT